GAAATACTAATTACACTTAATGGAAAATCCAAAATATATACATCACTGGGGATTTCACCTTTTTGGACTCTTCCGTCCCTCTCCGTCAGGCTAAGTCACACTTTCAGCAACCCCCCTAAGAAATATTACGTTGCGAAAGCTAGTTCACCCTTCCTACCATATAAACAATTTCTTTTGATTTAAATTTACAACTTTCTTGGGATCCCCCCAAAATTCTAGTCACCAGGACACAATTTCGTCAAATGAGATTTGAAATAAAAAAATTTAAAATAATTCGAAGTGGTCTGTATTCTGTCGAAACTATCAGACGCGGATTGCGATTTCGATCTTTTTGGATCTCATCAGCGCGTCGCAGGCAGCTCCGACAGGACACAGACCAACTTTTACCTGCTGCCTTAACAGCGCGTTTTAGAAAATACGACAAATGGCGCTGTAAACGCCATCTGTAGTACAGTGCTACATTTTAGGATTACGTATGCTTCAGCAAGGTCCATTTAAATATATGGATATCTACTTGCTGAAACGAATCCCGGCGTAGCTAGCCTCAACGTGATAGGCACGTTACCATAATCGAATAAAATAATTCGAAATAACCTTGCTGAAGCATACGTAATCCTAAAATGTAGCATTGTACTACAGATGGCGTTTACAGCGTCATTTGTCGTATTTTCTAGATTTGAAATTATTTCAAATATCATCAAATTGATACAGATCTGTATTGCACAATAAATTTATTGATGAGTAGATGAGAAATGTTAGTTTTTGGCGCTGTTATCGAACGAGAATAACAATTTTCCTATTTGTAGCGTGTGTACGTACTTCAATTCGTCTGTCGCTGTTAGTTGCGGTGTTCGAGTTGACGTTGAAATGCATTATTTATTGTTGCACTTAACGTGCAATGTAGTTTCAAATTGTACAGCGAAAGTCCCGCGACATTCAACCAACAAATTAAGTGTCAACGACATCCCTGCCAAAAGAAAACAAAAGTTCTGTCGCTACCACACACAAAAATACAACTTGCCGCGACGATATAACAGTCGAAACACTTTCGATCGGTCTGCTTATAATCACTCCAGTGTAGGTATATACAGGATGTTTCAGGACTACTTCGATCTAAACTCCAAGTCTCCTTTAATCTAACCTAAAATGCCGGCGGTTTTAGCAAGCGGTCATAAATCAATTTTATATGCGCTGAATTGCATGCAGTATACTACTAGGATGGTTCAATAGCTCTACCAAGGTGTATCGGCATGACATAGCCTCACTATGACACTCTGGAGATGGTAGCATCTATTTGGCGAAGACTTCGACATGAAATAGTGAAGTGTTGACAGGAGGGGTGATACATAGATGGCGATTGGAAGTAACCCTACTGTACTGTATAAAATATCGTTTTACTCTGAGTTAAGCTGCTGGTTAACAGAGCGTCAGTAAACGAATCGGAAACTTAAAATTTTGCATACATTTGTTAGTCATGCATGACAGTCTTCTTATCTTAAACATTTGAGGCAAAAATTTAAGATACTTTTCTGTTTCCCTAAAATTTTTTTTACCTTGAAGCCTAAAATCGGGCAGGCACACCCTGTGAATATAATGAAACTCTTCTGTTAAATGCCGTGTATTCTCGGATTGAATGTGTGTTGTCGAAACGGAAAACTTTCCTTCCATTATGCAGAAAATAACTTTTCGTCGTTCAACAGAGTAAAGCGTCAGCTCCAGGAGCGCGTCACATGCTTCGAAATAATTATCGGGGCACGCGGTATGCCGCCGATGCGATGCGGCCTCGCAGAATTTCCATGTTCTGGGTTGCAAACTCAAAACAGCGCAGCATGGGATCGAAGCGGAAAAGTAACAGATAATGGAAAGTTTTAAGCGGTTAGGGTCACGGCACAACACGTCTCATTCTCTGAATATAATGCACGTAAGCCACATTAAAAACCTACGGCTTATACCGTATTCCGTTAAAAGAAGTATGAATAACGTAGGAGTGAGACAAATCTGTTGTTTATAAAACTACTATAGGATAAATAATATATAAAGTGGGAGTCGTTTATTATGACTCCGCCTATATTGACCAATCGCTTTATATTAAGTAATTGCAGTGTTACGTTTGGTTTTCATATTAAATTCTCTATAGGAAAGTTTGGATATAAAGACTCCGTTTAAAATGACATATCATTTATTATGACTGATTCTCAAGAAATCATATCCGGCTATAGTGACCCAAATGATTAATAATAACATTTTCGCTCATTTTTCTGACACTTCTCATGAATATTGATATTACACTTCATCGCTCTTTTTCTTTTTCTGTTAATAAATATATACAATTTGTAGTTTTTCTCTCCATTAAACTAAATAACTGACCAAAATAGAAAGATGTTTATTTTCTAAGTCTAAGGAGGTCGGATAATTCAGGATGGAAGGAGCAGTAGAGATATAAAACAAAGGATAGCGGAGGGCCGAGTCGTTTTTAACAAAAACAAGTCAATTCTCAAATATTAACAACCATTAAGAAACATTACTGAAAATTTTATATAAGTAGATAAACCTCTAAAAGCTCTGAGCATGTACTTCTTAACCACAATCCATCAGGATTACGGTTTTAACTAAATAAAACTAGCCTTGAGAATGCGCGACAACCTGGGCGAAACGCTAGCTATGGTTTTTAAATAAAATAATTTTAACCTCAATATTGCTTTGATTAAAAAGACTTTTTTTATTTTCTTTGACCTTAGTCGTGGACGCGTGAGCCTATATAGCTAAGTCTCATCTTGAACTTAGTCTTGCATCTCCAAAACAAGACCTTTCTGCAAGACCAAGGCTATTTTTGCTTATTATTAGATACTTATGTATCATTTTTATTATAAATGTGTGCATGCCTATCTAAAGATAACATTAAAAAATCGATGTAGGTACTCAAAGTGATTAAAATCGTTTTCCCGATTAAATAAAAGCAAGAGTTATACATATATATATATGTGTCTACCTACCACTATTATTTTATGTTTTAATCGATTTCAATTTACGCAAGTGGACGACCAGTCCTGTTTCATATCAATGTTACTAGCACAATAACCAGTAGAGGTAACAGCAGCAGTAACAACAACAACAACGAGTAGATAGTTCTTTTTGTTTGTAAAATAGCACGCTGCTGCAGGATAACAAACTTCCATGGAAGCAATCAAATAGCTTATGCACTCCCTGCATTAATTTTCCATTGTATTCAAAGTGCGGGTATAGATATGTAGAAGACTTATCAAACCTTTTATTTCAATCATTATTCCTCCCGTTCGGCTACATACTGCACATACAAATGTACACAATGGGGACATTTATGTTTAGTACCTCTAACCGTATCTCTACCCGTAGGAAAAATTTCCATTTACAATAATTCCATTAATATTTACATAGGAAAAATTTCCATTGATTTTCAATGGGAACCAATGCAAAATTTATAAATTCTATTTAAAACCATTAAATGGAAAAACAATTGGCTACCTAAAAATGGAGAACATCTGGTTTGAGATGACTAAATTTATAAAAAAAGATGGAGAGAAACGTGCTGATTGTCACAGCAAGTTGTAAAATTAATAAACAAAACATTATTTGGAATAATAATTGTCATGTAATTAATATTTTCCTCATATTTCATCTTGATTAAAAAGAATTTCGTTTAATTACCCCATAGCAATAATTAAAAGTAAAAAATAAAGAATTGACACTAGGATTTCCATTGGGTTCAGGAATGGAACGCAAGGGAAATCCCATTGCGTTTAGTAATGGAAGTCCCATTGCGTTTAGCAATGGAAGTCCCATTGAGTTCGAGGATTCTAGTGGAAATTCCATTCGTCCCATTGGCAATTCTCCATTTATTACCATTAATTATTATTAGTGGTAATTAAATGGCATTTTTTAATGAAAACAGGATGGAAATTTTTCCTACGGGTATGTATCTATTGCACTTTAGTACACAGAAATACATAACTAATAAACTTCGTTTAGCCACACAGTTCATTGAATAGTTTGCCTATTCTTAATCGCGGTTAAGTAGATCGTGATTTATAATTCAGCATAATTGAATGGAAACTACAAATGTTTTAATGTGCTTCGCAAGCGAGGACGGGCCTTCCGGAAGGAGTAACGTAAGTCCAATGGATTACAAGTTAGGAAACAAGTTAAGCAGTAACATGAAACAGTACAGCAACCTATGCCAAAAGTTACCAACAATCTTTGATGAGGAAAGCAGCTTTAACTTGGTACGGTTTCGGTTGTAAACAATTCATGAAAATCTCCGTGTTACCCAGTTCATTTGCATGTTCGGTTTTCAGAAGATAGACGTGTGTGTTTAAAGATTTAACGGCAGCGTTAAATTAAGGGCAAAGGTACTGAAAGTAGGGTACCATATGGAAAAAATAGATCGGGTGCAAATCTATGGTAAACCCTTAAGCATAAGCAAAAACTTCTTTTCACAACTTGCCTTTGATTAGCAATCGATAATGATCAAATTTTTTAGCAGTATTCAGATTTTTGGATATCCACATATTTGGAATTTTGAATAATCAAGTATTTTGGTATTAGGAAATATTTGTATATTGGATATTTGAATGTTTGAATATTTCACTTTCAAATATATTTTTCAAAGTATTTGAATTATGGATATTCAAACAATTCGAATACATTCGAAGCCCTAATTGTAACCAACCTGATAGCAAAATATTTCTGAAAATGAAAATTGTTAGAAGCCTCTACAAGAAAGATAGATGAATGTAAAATTAGAATGAACATTGTTTTTTTCGACTAACGAAAAGCCATAAATTAATTGCAACTTCTGTTATATGGATCAATCGAAATTTCTGTTATCTTTTTAGAGTGTCAACCTTCATCAAGAAAGCATTTCGTGTAGTTCTACTTTTACCTATAAGAAGGAATTTAAAAGCTCTATGTAACTTAAAACCCAATACTAATCAAAACCGTGAATGAAAGAACGAATTACTTACAAACAACGCCAATCTTCCAGGACGTTTCAAGGAATAATCCGGAAACCTTCGGATTTTCGGCACGGCATGTTATGGATTTTTCATCGTCTTCAGTCGTTGGTACGAAACTTAAAATGCTGGTCGTGATGTTATCCTTCGTTTCCTCCTAAAATAAACGAGAAATTTTCAGGTTATTAATTTAAACTGAAAAAAACAATTAAGGGCTGAGAGAAAAGCTACTGATTTACGAGCGTGATTAATAATCGTTTGAGTGGAGATTCAAATTTTCAATAAAAATGGAATTATTCTACCGTATAATTAGCTTTTTTACTGGTGTTAATCAACGTTAAAGTGCCACAAAGTTTAACCCAATATTGTCATGAAAACTTGTTGTTGTAGAATTAACATTAGCGGAACTAGATAAAAGCTTTTCCAAGCGACCATTTATACGATGCATTTCAGAAACTGACACTAAGCACGATAAACGTAAAAATTAATCAGTCTTAGAACGATCCTTATAAGTTTAGCTTAAAGACTGTTATAAGGTAAAACTTCATGAAATATTATTCTGAAAATTCATTTTTACCCACTACACGCTACCTCAAATTAATGAGGGAAAAATTGCTGCTGTTGTCCAACCCCCGCCGGAAATCGAACCCGGAACCTTTGGCTTTACGCACCAATGTTCTGTCCACTAAACTACGAGAGGTGACAACAGCAACCACGACCAACCGACCTACAAGGTTAACGATCCGTCGTACTAATGTGACTATATATACTGAATATATTATGATTAAACATACATACAATTTAGACATCTTATATTATTCGAAAATGAATTTTCAGAACAATATTTCATATTAAACTAACTCACTTCGAAAAGATGTCTAAATTGTATTCATGTAAAACTTCATTCCGAAATCATTAGAGATTTCTGGTCTTCTTGCTTCATATAAATAAGTAAGTGAAATTCATTTTTTTTTTATTGAAAGTGTAACGACTTTTTTGAATAGCGAATTATCCAAATATTTTCTCAATTGATACACTTTATAAATTACTAATAACTGAATAATAATTGATAACTACCGCCCGACCGACGTATGAATCAAAAACTGCGATTCGTCAAATATTTTCAATTATATTACGCGCTGGTAATCAGCCCTTGTTACATATATAAAATTAATTTCCAATTTTCGTGTTTAATGTAATTTATACGGCTCAATATCCAAAAGTCATTTTGTTTATTTTAAGCTTCCGTGCTTTTTCCGGGTGTTATTAAATAACAAATCAAAAACCAATATTTTCAGAACACAAAACCTAAACTTTGAGCGTACCTATACATACCTACTATTATGTAAAAAACATTATTATAGTATAGTGATGTCTATGCCTAAAACATAGAAAGCTAGAAGAACATATTATGTATTACATAAAAAAGCTTCAGAATTTTTGTTAGAAATGAAGAGATATCAGAAAGAACAGGAGAATAGGCGAGAAAAGTTGGTAGGACACCTTCTCAGGTATGAAGGTCTAGCCAGAGGGACATATTGGAGACAGAAACGGGAGTTAGGAGGGGTAGAGGTAGGCCTAGATTAGATTACTGTTCGCAAATAGATTAGCTTAGAAAATACTACAAATGGCGCGGTAAACGCCATCTGTAGTACGATGCTACATTTTAGGATTACGTATGCCCCAACAAGGTCCATTTAAATATATGGATATCTACTTGCTGAAACGAATCCCGGCGTAGCTACAGATGGCGTTTACCGCGCCATTTGTAGTATTTTCTAAAACGCGCTGTTAAGACAGCAGGTAAAAGTTGGTCTGTGTTCTGTCGGAGCTGTCTGCGACGCGCTGATGAGATCCAAAAAGATCGAAATCGCGATCCGCGTCTGCCAGTTTCGACAGAATACAGACCACTTCGAGTTATTTTATTAGATTAGCTTAGGATAGAAAAAAGAGGAGGTGCATGTCCAACCAGCCTTATGACGACCTTATGAAGATGAGCTTTTGCCGTTGTCTTTTTTTTTTTTCGGTGTAGATTTCCTTTATTGTTATAATGAAGGAACATTTGTAGTATTATATCTGTGTCTTTTTTTATATTCGTTCCTAATGCTTGGTAACTGGGCGATTACGGGAAAATGGATTGCAAGCAGCCGCAGTAATGGCCTGGCGTAAGCTGGAAAGTCTAGAGAATTGTTTCGTAAGCTTAAGCTTTCTGCAGATTGGGGCAGTAATTTCAGATATTAAAGCTACAGTGGATCGTCTGCGATGCATAAAACTGCAGCTTTCGTTGATCTAGTAAAATTTTAAAGCCTCATAAGCTAATCGGTTTAACTCGGATTAGCTTTTCAAATGAAAATAAAAATTAAAATCCCTGTTTTATTAGCACTCTCCGTGCAGCAATGTGTTTCGGAAAGAATATGCAAAGTACGGGCAGGCTCTTTATTAAGCCGAGCTCTTGAACCTTTTAATTAAAAAGCATAAAAACTAAAAGTCAGCCGTGGGCACTGGCGTGCGAAGTTTCACTTAAATGTTATTAAAAGCGGGACTATGCATTTCATTCGGCTCGTGTTCTGACGAATTTTAGTCATCATTTGATATTGAACAATACGGATGCATACTACAAACAGGTATTGCTGGAAAATGTGCACTCTTTAATTCCTTACTATACAAAGTTCGAACACATATGTAAACACATATAACGATATCATCATCATAATAAAAGATCGTTAGTCCTAAGACTGGTTGGACATGCACCTCCACTCTTTCCTATCCTGAGCTAATCTTCGCATTTCCCTAAAACTAGAACATCTAGCGTCTTTAAGTATTTGCGAACACTAATCTAGGTCTACCTCTACTCCTTTTAACTTCTGTTTCTGCCTCTAATATGTTTCTGGCTAGACCTTTATGCTTGAGAAGGTGTCCCACCAACTTATCTCGCCTATTTCTTATTGACTTCCACAGAATCCTCTGTTTTCCTATTCTTTCTAATACCTCTTCATTTCTAACCTTCTCTATCCACGGTACCCTCATCATTCGCCTGTAACACCACATTTCTAAAGCTTCCAACCTTTTCTTTTCCGCAGCGCCCACCGTCTATGTTTCGCACCTGTACAGCGTCGCTCTCTAAACATACACCTTTAACAATCTTTTTCGAATTTCTATGATAAATTAACCGTTCGCGAGCATAGAAGTGACTTCCTTTTATTGAAGTCAATTCAATCCTGCGCTATCCTCTGCTTTATATTTCTACCACTCCTTCCATCCTGACTTCTTTAATACTGAAAATCAATAACATCTTCTAATTTTTCATCCCCTATCTTTATATTCGCGCTTTCCCTACTTTTTCTTTCTTTGCATGCTAGTATTTTTGTTTTACTTTTATATATAACGATACAATTGTCAAATATACGAAAGATGCTGATGTTATACATGATTTATTATGCGAACTACTTCTTAAGGATTCTCTTTTTAGGGCGGGTGGGAAGGCTTGTATTAAGTAGACTTTGTAATGTGTATTAATCATTACTTAATTAATATTATTAAAATATATTTCATGTGCATGTAAGTGCTTACATGAGCAATGAGCGTCTTCTGTGCTATAACCGATATAAGCGATTGCCACAAAATTTTATTTCTTTTCTACCGTAGCCAAAGCGTATTTTTTGATTAATGACGCCATCATTTATATTCATAACGTAAACTGATGGTGGGAGAAGTTTGCGCAGTTTATATGCTAATCGAGATCGAAAATGGCTTTGTTTTATAGCATAAATCCGCGTAAAAAATACCCTTATATTTGTAAATGCAGATGCATTTGAAAGATGTTTTATTTAAATGCGGAACTGTAAAAAATTGGAGAATACAACAATGCCACGAACCATGACACATTATCGTCGTAATGACTAATTAGTCTTGAAACCAAACCAACTACCAAAACTGATAGGCCAGTTGATGTGAAGTCGGATGAAAAAATTCTACAGAGAAATCTGGAAACTGTTTCGAAATGGAAATTCTGACTTCGTTCGCCGCCATATTGGGCCCAAGATTTTTATATAAGAAAGGTTCTCTTGAAAAAAGCTTTTCTAAGCAATGGTAGCAACAAGGATCAATATTAAGAGCCTACATTCATTAATTTCTAGCTACTTCCTTAAGATTTTTTAGTGGCTTTGTTTAAAATGCAATAGTACCAACCTACTGTCATTCAAAAAGGAATAAGAACGAAAATAAATGATTAACGGTTTAATAACTAAAACCCGTCTAATTTTTGACCAATGCTTATATTGAATCCGAGTCCGAAAGGCATGCAAATAGATTCAGCTCTTCTATTTCGCACCCCCTCGCTGCTGCTATTGCATCCGAAAACCAATTAAATAGAATTGTATGTTCGAATCGCGAACGCTCCCTCTATATTAGCGTAAAAATTACTTCATTTCTTCGAAGCCTCGTCGCGAACAGCGAATGCTTTTCTGAAATTTCAATTGTAATACGGACAGGCAATGGTGTAGACTGTAGAGTGTGGAGGACGTAGCCAAGTTAACCGCACGAAGAAAAGGCATTCCAGATGAGATATGCAGGTGCCTTAATCAAGAATGCCGAGTGGAGAATTTCGTTATCAGCGAGCGGTCGCTGCCTCTAATAATTTCTTTTACATGAGTTAAATATGAAAATGAGAAGCACGGCGAAATTTCATTAGAAGACGTTCTGGAAGTAGATTCAGACAGAGCAAAAAGCTTAACAAATCTTCTCGAACAAAATATTCTAGAATCCAAAGGATTACTCAGATTTTATGCATCATTCATATCACACACTTTAACGTAAGTATCTATACAATGCGTTTTAGAAAATACCACAAATGGCGCAGTAAACGCCATCTGTAGCACGATGCTACATTTTTATTTGTGGTATTTCCTAAAACGCACTGTTAAGACAGCAGGTAAAAGTTGGTCTGTGTTCTGTCGGGCTGCCTGCGACGCGCTGATGAGATCCAAAAAGATCGAAATCGAGATCCGCGTCTGGCAGTTTCGGCAGAATACAGACCACTTCGAATTATTTTATTCGATTAAGCTAACGTGCCTATAACGTTGAGGTTGGCTACGCCGGGATTCGTTTCAGCAAGTAGATATCCATATGTTTAAATGGACCTTGTTGGAGCATACGTAA